GGATCACCAGATTTGTAAATTGGTGAAATAACGGCAGATTTCCACACCCTTGGGAATTCACCCTGTTGAGAGATTAATGATTTTGGTGATGGGTTTGGCTAATGCTGAACCTTAACCATTGTTGTGTCCATCCCAAAATCATCTTTTGCTTTTGATGGCTTGAGGGATCTAATAATTTCTGTGATCTTTGATTCACTAACAATACTAAAATGGAAAGCTGGCTCTGTTTTGTTTGCCAAGCACAGATTAACCTGCTTAGCTCTGTGCAATAGTTGCTACAGAATCGACAAAGTATCGATTAAGAGCTCCAGCTACTTGAGCTGGGTCCTTAGTCAGTTGGGTTGCTAAAACTAGTATTGTCACTAGTTGCTGTGGCAACTAATTGCCATTTGGTAGCTTATCAGTTGGGCATAGGGAAGTAATGCGATGAGGGGTTTCTTCACTGAGCGTTTATCCTTACATAAGGGCACAAGCATCTTGTGTTTATTTAATAGAAATATAGGACAGTGGATAGAGAATGGAAACCAGGGAGAGAGCGTGGGGAATGACATGCTTGAAAGGGGCCAAGGGCTTGAATAGAACCCACGCTGACTGCTTTGAGGAATACACTGTCTCTACATGGAGCAGGCAAATTAACCCCTAGGCCAACCAGCACTCCTTAAAACCTCTGTTTTAACCTTCTAACAGAATTGTTATCCACACTGCAGTAATCACATATACTCTGGGTTTTTGTGTAGTGTTTTGGATATTAGTGGTTTGGATTTTTTTTGCAAATTATTGTCAGCATACCATAATCTTATTGCAGAAAATTACAGCCTTCTATTTAAGACCAAATACACCATTACTAGAGATTGAAATTGTGCTGAATGTGTTTGTTAAGTGTAAAGAGAGGAGGCCTAGGGTATGAGGTAACCTGAGGCCAGATTGAAAAGAGGAGAGAATTTGTGTTAGAAGGTAAAATGTCCCTTTATGTGTTGATCTTTGGGATGAGTAACACTCTCCCTCTGATAAAGGACCGGCACAAGCACGGATAAACCCCAAATAGCCATGCAACAGTCAGTGCTGAATGTGTAAAGTTTAATAAAAAAATTTGAAAAAGATTACACAATTTTAGTAGTGAAAATGCAGTTTCAAAAAAAGTCTGAATGCATGTATAGAACTTCCTGTTGTTGATTAAAAAAATGAGAACAAATGGGAGAGGCTTGTTTTATTTAGGATTCCTGTTGTCGCAAACAATGTTGCATACTGTGTTTTGATTTGCTTGATTTCATTTCAGTTCCTGTTCTTTTAAGGGCCATTCCTTGAATAAAGGAAAAAAGAACACTGATTGCAACATCATTCGTATGATCCAGCACTAAGGCATCACACTGAGTCCTTGATACTTCTACCACAATGACTATCATAATGGTTTTGAAAGCAATCTCTGGTAATGAGTCCTATTGAAAAGCCCTTTAAAACGACTGATTAGAAATGACTGATTTGGAGTCCAATAATTTTGTCCAAATAAACATTTTTACTGAGTTCCATCTGCCCCTCCCAGATTTTCTGTCTCTATACCTCCTGTTTTTACCTGTTGCTATCTTTCCCAACTTTCTCCCTTTCTCAGTTTTCAAGTTTCAAGATGTGTTTCTGGGTGTTTCTTCTTCTCCCAGGCTCATCTCTGCCTTTCACCAGTGTATAAAGCAAACACCCTGATAACTGCAGTGGTTGAAATTGATGTGACATGTTTCAGATTTTTTTCCAGTCCTTTAAAACTGCATCTTCCCTCCTCATCCCCGCCCTCTCTCTTTTCAATATCCCTGTGCATACTCCTCACTCACTTTCAGGGAGGTGAGCAATTCTAAAGCAAGCAAATGGATTCTATTCTGCAGGCTAGTTATTAAATTTGTTTGCAAATCTCTGCCCCCCTTGCCACTCACTGCCCCTCCCTCAACCTCCATCTCTTCACCCCTCCCTACTCTTCTTCCACAGTCCTTACTGTCATGAACATTCAGACCCATAAAATGCAATGAGAAATAGAGACAGGCTAATAGAGCAACAAAGAAATATGAACCATAAGCCTAAAAATAAAGAAAATAATTGAATACTCCTTATCCAAAACACATAGCACTTTTTCTTTTAATAATATGTTAGGTTGCTTTACTTTGTTTCTACTTGTCAAGTTTGCCTGTTTTTGCACACACACAATCAAGAACACAAGACATGATGGAATAAGTGACAGCAGTACTCAAAAAAGAGAGAGGGTCACCCTTAGTAAAACAAGATAAATTAAACCATAGACGAACAATGAAACAAGAGATAGCCACAAACATCCGATTCGATCCGAAGACCTTCAAAGTCCCCTTCATCCATATCAGTTTGAAGTTAAAACATTCTGTCCGCCATTGTCGGTTCTTCTCAGCTTTCTCCACAGAGCCTGTCAGCATAGCTTCCAAGCAAGATTGCGGACGTTGCTTTTAGATTCTGGGAGTGAGGTCCCACCCACGGACTTTCGAGATTAGAATCCATCATGATGTCTTCTTGTACTTAAAGGTCTAGTGAGGCCAACCGCAGGATAGGATATCTCCCTGATGGAGTTTAGACGCTGGTGTTAGTAGTGTTGAAGGAAGGATGCAGGATGTGAAAAGGAGTGGACTCCTGAGGAGCCAGACCGGCACAGTGTTGAGATGGATTGGGGTGAAGGAGGGTCACAGATCTCAAACTGAAATAAGAAATGTTCAGAGCAAGAGCAATAAAGAGAAGAGACTTTCAAATTTGACAGCAGCAGGATGGTTGGTCGATAGAGGTAGTGGCGAAATCTGGTTGGTTTAGTACTTAAAGAGTAAACACCACTAATCAGCTGATCACCTGAGCATGAAGACAGCGGGAGAGGTAGAGAGGGAGTGACATGAATGAATGAGTATGAAAAAGTATTACTGCTTGAACTTGTGCTGAGCTTCATTTATACAAAGGATATGTTGAAGGGCAGAGAAGAGGTTAAGGCACACAGACTAACAGCCTGTCACATGTGCCACAAGCATACACTGCAGACACAAACAAAGAGTATATGTATTCCACAAAACCCGAAAACCCACATACTGACATTTTAACCTGGACTATTTTCACTATTTCAAATGACAACCACACTAATAAAGATTGGTAAACAAGGGTAATACTCTAAATTTCCCAGACAATGAGCAGAGTGCAACAAAACGATTCCAAAGAAGCATCGTGTTGTTTATCAAGCTTACCAAGGCAGGGTGCACTGATAGGTAAGCACTATCAAAGAAAGGTTTGTAGCATATCAACAATAGTGCAGTTTAACACAATATTTAGCCCACTTGACAGCCAAGAGCTCTCGATTGAAGGCTAAGGCACTATGTATTGCTGGTATCTTTGATTATTTTTACATATTTATTCAATTCAATTTAATAATTCCACATTAGCTTCCCGGATTCTGTCAGATTATGACATTTACAGCCTAACAAAAGCATGATAAATGACAATAATGTGAAAGACAGGAGTTTTCTTCATTAATACTCATCAATAATGCATTATATTTAAGACTATTAAAAGTGCAAGGTTTCTTTTTTTTTCTTTCCTTTTTGGCCCTCAACCAAAGTAGGCATGTCCCTGACTAAGGATTTACATAATCGGACCTAATTTGTCAGATGTTGCCTATAGTCAACTGACGGTCAAAAGCTTTGTTGTTGTGTTTTTGCGCTCATTGATCCATATTCTTGTCTGAGTTAAACCACATAATTAAACTATTTGTCATGTAGATATGGAATAACAATTAATTCTATGATAGGACTTGATCCATAGTTTTTTTCACTCATTCAGTCTCCAAAAATGTGACATTATAGCGATATAACAAAGAAGGCACACACACTCACAGCTCAGTGTAAGCGGTTCCTATTTTAGAAAGCCTTAACAACATATCACACTACAATTGGCGATCTAACAATTAAGCATTGTGCACCCAAACAAAGTACCATTTGATACCAAAACCCGGGATCAAATCAGGGTCCTTTAGATCTTCAGTCTGACGCTCTCCCAACTGAGCTATTTCGGCACAAAAATATATACTGGACCAGAGGACAAACACTACATTCATGAGTAAAAGACAATGAGAAGAAACAGGTTTTTGCTGAATCATGGACAAGAATACTGTTTTACAAATCATGAACAACATGTTATACTACAATTGGCAAGGCGATCTCACAATCACAGCGTTGTGCACCCAAACAAAGTACCATTTGATGTTGAAACCCGGGATCGAGCCAGGGACCTTCAGGTCTTCAGTCTGACGCTCTCCCTACTGACTATTTTCTTCACAAAGGGGTGTACTGGAGCAGTGGACAAACACAATATTCATGAGTAAAAGACATTGAGAAGAAAAAGGTTTTCCCTGAATCGTGGTCACAAATCCTATTTTACAAATCATTGACAACATGTTACACTACAATTGGCAAGGTGATCTAACAATCAAAGCGTTGTGCACCCAGACAAAGTACCATTTGTTGCTAAAACCCAGGATTGAACCAGGGCTCTTCAGATCTTCAGTCTGACGTTCTCCCAACTGAGCTATTTCGGCACAAAGTGGTATTCTGGACCAGTGGACAAACATAATATTCATGAGTAGAAGACAATGAGAAGAAATAGGTGTTTACTGAATCATGGACAAGGTTCCTATTTTAGAAATCACTTACTATAATTGGCAAGGCGATCTAACAATTACAGCGTTGTGCACCCAAACAAAGTACCATTTGTTGCCGAAACAGGGACCTTCAGATCTTCAGTCTGACGCTCTCCAAACTGAGCTATTTCGGCACAAAGAAGTATACTGGACCAGAGGACAAACACAATATTCATGAGTAAAAGACATTGAGAAGAAAGACATTTTCGCTGAATCATGGACAAGGTTCCTATTTTACAAATCATTAACAACATGTTACACTACAATTGGCAAGGCGATCTAACAATCAAAGCGTTGTGCACCCAAACAAAGTACTATTTCTTGCCAAAACCCGAGCTTGAACCAGGGACCTTCAGATCTTCAGTCTGACACTCTCCCAACTGAGCTATTTCGGCACGAAGTGGTCTTCTGGACCAGTGGACAAACATAATATTCCTGAGTAAAAGACTTTGAGAAGAAACAGGTTTTTACTGAATCATGGGCAAGGTTCCTATTTTAGAAATCACTTGGTATAATTGGCTAGGCAATTTAACAATCACAGCGTTGTGCACCCAAACAAAGTACCATTCGATGTCGAAAACCACGATCAAACCAGGGACCTTCAGATCTTCAGTCTGACGCTCTCCCTACTGACTATTTTCTTCACAAAGGGGTATACTGGACCAGTGGACAAACACAATATTCATGAGTAGAAGACATTGAGAAGAAAAAGGTTTTCACTGAATCGTGGACAAGAATCCTATTTTACAAATCATTAACAACATGTTACACTACAATTGGCAAGGTGATCTAACAATCAAAGCGTTGTGCACCCAAAAAGAGTACCATTTGATGCTGTAACCCAGGTTCTTCAGATCTTCAGTCTGACGCTCTCCCAACTGAGCTATTTCTTCAGAAAGAGGTATACTGGACCAGTAGACAAACACTATATTCATGAGTAAAATACATTGAGAAGAAAGACATTTTTGCTGAATCATGGACAAGAATCCTATTTTACAAATCATTAACAACATGTTACACTACAATTGGCAAGGTGATCTAACAATCACAGCGTTGTGCACCCAAACAAAGTACCATTCGATGTCGAAACCCGGGATCGAGTCAGGGACCTTCAGATCTTCAGTCTGATGTGCTCCCAACTGAGTTATTTTTGCACGAAGTGCTATTCTGGACCAGTGGACAATCCTAATATTCATGAGTAAAAGACAATGAAAAGAAACAGGTGTTTACTGAATCATGGACAAGGTTCCTATTTTTGAAATCACTTACTATAATTGTCAAGGTGATCTAACAATCACAGTGTTGTGAACCCAAACAAAGTACCATTTGATGTCGAAACCCGGGATTGAACCAGGGACCTTCAAATCTTCAGTCTGGGGGAAAACTGGACCAGTGGACAAACACAATATTCATGAGTAAAAGACATTGAGAAGAAACAGGTTTTCCCTGAATCGTGGACAAGAATCTTATTTTACAAATCATTAACAACATGTTACACTACAATTGGCAAGGCGATCTAACAATCAAAGTGTTGTGCACCCAAACAAAGTACCATTTGTTGCCAAAACCTGGGATTGAACCAGGGAACTTCAGACCTTCAGTCTGACGCTCTCCCAACTGAGCTATTTTGGTACAAAGTGGTATACTGGACCAGTGGACAAACATAATATTCATGAGTAAAAGACTTTGAGAAGAATCAGGTTTTTACTGAATCATGGACAAGAATCCTATTTTACAAATCATTAACAACATGTTACATTACAATTGGTAAGGTGATCTAACAATCAAAGCGTTGTGCACCCAAACAAAGTACTATTTGTTGCCGAAACCCGGGATTGAACCAGGGACCTTCAGATCTTCAGTCTGACGCTCTCCCAAATTAGCTATTTCGGCACAAAGAAGTATACTGGACCAGAGGACAAACACAATATTCATGAGTAAAAGACATTGAGAAGAAAGACGTTTTTGCTGAATCATGGACAAGAATCCTATTTTACAAATCATTAACAACATGTTACACTACAATTGGCAAGGCGATCTAACAATCAAAGTGTTGTGCACCCAAACAAAGTACCATTTGTTGCTGAAACCCGGGATCAAAACAGGGACCTTCAGATCTTCAGTCTGACGCTCTCCCAAATTAGCTATTTCGGCACAAAGTGGTATGCTGGACCAGAGGACAAACACTATATTCATGAGTAAAAGACATTGAGAAGAAAGACGTTTTTGCTCAATCATGGACAAGAATCCTATTTTACAAATCATTAACAACATGTTTCACTACAATTGGCAAGGTGATCTAACAATCAAAGCGTTGTGCACCCAAAAAGAGTACCATTTGATGCTGTAACCCAGGTTCTTCAGATCTTCAGTCTGACGCTCTCCCAACTGAGCTATTTCTTCATAAAGAGGTATACTGGACCAGTAGACAAACACTATATTCATGAGTAAAATACATTGAGAAGAAAGACATTTTTGCTGAATCATGGACAAAAATCCTATTTTACAAATCATTAACAACATGTTACACTACAATTGGCAAGGTGATCTAACAATCACAGCGTTGTGCACCCAAACAAAGTACCATTCAATGTCGAAACCCGGGATCGAGCCAGGGACCTTCAGATCTTCAGTCTGACGTACTCCCAACTGAGTTATTTTTGCACAAAGTGCTATTCTGGACCAGTGGACAATCCTAATATTCATGAGTAAAAGACAATGAAAAGAAACAGGTGTTTACTGAATCATGGACAAGGTTCCTATTTTTGAAATCACTTACTATAATTGTCAAGGTGATCTAACAATCACAGTGTTGTGAACCCAAACAAAGTACCATTTGATGTCGAAACCCGGGATTGAACCAGGGACCTTCAAATCTTCAGTCTGGGGGAAAACTGGACCAGTGGACAAACACAATATTCATGAGTAAAAGACATTGAGAAGAAACAGGTTTTCCCTGAATCGTGGACAAGAATCCTATTTTACAAATCATTAACAACATGTTACACTACAATTGGCAAGGCGATCTAACAATCAAAGCGTTGTGCACCCAAACAAAGTACCATTTGTTGCCGAAACCTGGGATTGAACCAGGGAACTTCAGATCTTCAGTCTGACGCTCTCCCAACTAAGCTATTTTGGTACAAAGTGGTATACTGGACCAGTGGACAAACATAATATTCATGAGTAAAAGACTTTGAGAAGAATCAGGTTTTTACTGAATCATGGACAAGAATCCTATTTTACAAATCATTAACAACATGTTACATTACAATTGGTATGGTGATCTAACAATCAAAGCGTTGTGCACCCAAACAAAGCACTATTTGTTGCCGAAACCCGGGATTGAACCAGGGACCTTCAGATCTTCAGTCTGACGCTCTCCCAAATTAGCTATTTCGGCACAAAGAAGTATACTGGACCAGAGGACAAACACAATATTCATGAGTAAAAGACATTGAGAAGAAAGACGTTTTTGCTGAATCATGGACAAGAATCCTATTTTACAAATCATTAACAACATGTTACACTACAATTGGCAAGGCGATCTAACAATCAAAGTGTTGTGCACCCAAACAAAGTACCATTTGTTGCTGAAACCCGGGATCAAAACAGGGACCTTCAGATCTTCAGTCTGACGCTCTCCCAAATTAGCTATTTCGGCACAAAGTGGTATGCTGGACCAGTGGACAAACATAATATTCATGAGTAAAAGACTTTGAGAAGAAACAGGTCTTTACTGAATCATGGACAAGGTTCCTATTTTAGAAATCACTTACTATAATTGTCAAGGCGATCTAACAATCACAGCGTTGTGCACCCAAAAAGAGTACCATTCGATGCTGAAACCCAGGTCCTTCAGATCTTCAGTCTGACGCTCTCCCAACTGAGATATTTCTTCACAAAGAGTTATACTGGACCAGTAGACAAACACAATATTCATGAGTAAAAGACAATGAGAAGAAACAGGTTTTTGCTGAATCATGGACAAGAATCCTATTTTACAAATCATTAACAACATGCTACACTCCAATTGGCAAGGTGATCTAACAATCAAAGCGTTGTGCACCCAAACAAAGTACCATTCGATGTCGAAACCCGCAATTGAAACAGGGACCTTCAGATCTTGAGTCTGACACTCTCCCTACCCACTATTTTCTTCACAAAGGGGTATACTGGACCAGTGGACAAACACAATATTCATGAGTAAAAGACATTGAGAAGAAAAAGGTTCTTGCTGAATCGTGGACAAGAATCCTATTTTACAAATCATTAACAACATGTTACACTACAATTGGCAAGGCGATCTAACAATCAAAGCGTTGTGCACCCAAACAAAGTACCATTTGTTGCCGAAACCCGGGATCGAACGAGGGACCTTCAGATCTTCAGTCTGACGCTCTCCGAACTGAGCTATTTCGGCACAAAGAAGTATACTGGACCAGAGGATAAACACAATATTCATGAGTAAAAGCCTTTGAGAAGAAACAAGTTTTTACTGAATCAAGAGCAAGGTTCCTATTTTTGAAATCACTTACTATAATTGGCAAGGCAATCTAACAATCACAGTGTTGTGTGTTTGTTTTTCGTTTCTTCTCAAAAGTTAAGTGGTTTTGACATAAGTCATCTAATTGTTTTAGATATAAGACTTTACTTACTAAAAAATAACAAATATTATTGTAATATTATTTTTATATTACTGTGTCAAATTGCTAAGAAATAAGTCAAATGTAAGAATTGGAGCAGAAGCACACACATTTATTGAAATATTTCAATTAAAAAATCTAAAAACATTTAAATAAAAGGCACATTTCACATTTTAGGACATTTCCTTTAAACAAAATAATGATATATTTGGTGTTTTAGCCTCTAGCCTCAAACAGACTAATGCTGTAGATTGAATCTGAATCTCTGAACTTGAGATTTTACACCTGCAGCAGACTCTGTGAGTCAAGACTGTCTACAACGAGTGGGACACTCGAGTCCAGCTGTGGGTGATTTTCCGAGCAGTATCTACAGCGTGTTTACATGGACGGGACAGTACACACTCCTTATTTGAATGCCATGTAAGCATTTTAAAAAACTAAAATGTGAAGAGACAGACAGGACGGGGCAGACAGAAGGGGAGAACAATGAATCATCATTTATTCTCGGCCCTTTTCCTCCTCATTTCTTCCAGCCACTGCTTCAGTGGCATCCCTGCGAAAGTGGGGCAATAAATGTATCCATGAAATTGCCTGTCGCCACTGTCTTTGTTCCGGGGCTGATGGCATTTGCTGCACTTATTATGTTCCACCTGACGATTGTAGGGCCACGGGGCAGGGGGTGGAGGGGGAAGAGGGCCAGCAGGGGCGATAGGCCTGGGAGAGGGGACAGCCAACATTGACAAATTTGATACACGTTTTTGTAGAATTGTGACATGAGAATAAGAGCAGTGATGAGGAATTGTACCTTCTTTGTGGAGTCCAGCTTCAGGATGGAGCCAAAGGTAGATGTAATGCTGGCTTTGATGTGCTCCAGCCTGCTTAAGATGTCCCGCCCGTAGACCGCCAGCATCCACTTATAGGTGGGAATGGCCACAGGCTCAGGCGGGTCCTGAAACACCACAGGGAACAGGCTGGGCCGGCCCACAAAGTCAGAGCATGCCCCGAGGTACTGGCAGAGGCGCTGCAGCCACTCCTCGCTGTGGTTTTCCCTCAGCTGCTTCACCAAGCGAGACGGGCTGTTGCCCAGGGTCCTCTCCCGCAGGAAGCGGATGACCCGAAGGTCACAAGCATATCTGTATTAAAAGAAAGGGAAGAGACAGAGACATTGAGACAAACACAAAAAGACAGTCCAACCTCTTATATCAGTCTGTTTCAATTACAGACAATTTTAAATAAACAATGTAACACAATAATATGTATTCTCATTAACATTTTTTTGTACATGCTTACAGTGGTGTCTTTATACTCACTTCTGAGTCAGGATGAGCCTGAATTCGAGCCGGTGAGCCAGGTCAAGCTGGTCCAGGATGGTCTTGCTGCTGGACAGGTAGTTGGTTTTGCAACCAATGCTGTTGCACCTGAGGGTCTCTGTGACCATCAGGTAGTACCTGTCCACGTCAAGGACCTGACGGGCTCTCTTGTGGGTACCGTATCCCACCAGCTGCTTCCCACACACAGGACAGGTTAGCCTGACCTTCCACAAGTGGTACGGCATCCACACAAGCAGGCGATGATTAAAAAAGCGCTCTGGAGTGGGGGCCTGATGGTAGATGAGCGCTGGCCCGGGTGGCTCGTACCACAGCTTCAGGTCGGTCCGTAGTCGCTGGTTTCTCCACAGAGCTGCAGAGATCCATCTCTGGTCCTGGAGGGGGATGGTCTTCCTCATCTTCACTGGCAGCCAGGGTAGGTCAGGGCCAGGGGCAGCCAACACATCCTCCGCTGACATATTGCTGAGAGGATCAGGACCAGGAGTGGTAGAGGAGGCACAGACAGGAGGGTCTGAGGAGGCACTGGAGGGAGCAGCTGTTACAACCTAATAATAAACAAATTATGTACAGAAAGACACACACAAATAAAACATTAACACATCATAAATCACTGAACTGCTTAGGTTAGGGTTTGATGTTTGGCAACAACAACAAAAAATTATCAATAGGATTCTTACAGCGGCAGTGGCTGGGGGGATTATTGAGGCTGATGACACAGGAGAGGGGGGAAGAGAGAAAGGGGAGGTGGTCCTAATATATTTTCTGGGACTCTGGGCAGGGGATGATGTCCTCCCTGATGTTGGTGTTGCAGTGTCGATGTTTGTGGTGGCACTGGGGGACGTACTAATAAGGGGCTGAGAGAGAAACAGGAGGAAATACAGGCTAATGAATATCTACAAACTCATGTATCACTACTAAGCATAATAAATCATTGTGTCATAATAAGACATGATAAAGCATTTAACCAAGGAGAAATTATGTCACAAGCAATACTATAAATCAAATGTATGCCTAGAGTGTCACCATACTGTACCTTTGCAGGCTTCCTAGCCACAGTTAAATTTGGCTTCAAAGCAGCACCATGCGACCCGCCAAACCGTGGTTTTGTAAACTGAAAGAAAATTAATGTAATCTTACAGGATGCATGATCATGTTATTTATTCTGTAAAACATAGAAGTCAGTAGTTAAGAGTCATTGGGTAAAAATCACAAACAGAATAAAGATTTACCATAGCCAGATTCAAAGCAGGCCTCTGCACAGGTCCAGCAAATGTTGATGCTGAGGAGGCAGCAGCAGCGCTTGAAGGACCTTGCCCTTGACCAGTGCCAATAGTGGTACGGGGAAATGGGGTGACAGGGACTGAGCTGGAATGCTAAAGATGTACAGAGACTTTTGAAGTCATTTCAAGCAAACGACACAACAACAAAAATGTGCACACAACAATTTGATGTTAGTTTAAAAATACCTTCTTAGTGTGGAAACCACAGCCACATGTCTGTGGGGTTCAGGGGACAAACACAATATTCATGACTAAAAGACATTGAGAAGAAAGACGTTTTCGCTGAATCATGGACAAGAATCCTATTTTACAAATCAATAACAACATGTTACACTACAATTGGCAAGGCGATCTAACAATCAAAGCGTTGTGCACCCAAACAAAGTACCATTTGTTGCCAAAACCCTGGATCGAACCAGGGACCTTCATATCTTCAGTCTGACACTCTCCCAACTGAGCTATTTAAGCACAAAGTGGTATTCTGGACCAGTGGACAAAGATAATATTCATGAGTAAAAGACTTTGAGAAGAAACAGGTTTTTACTGAATCATGGACAAGGATCCTATTTTAGAAATCACTTACTATAATTGGCAAGGCGATCGAACAATCAAAGCGTTGTGCACCCAAAAAAAGTACCATTTGATGCCGAAACCCGGGACCTTCAGATCTTCAGTCTGACGCGCTCCCAACTGAGCTACTTCTTCACAAAAAAGTATACTGGACCAGTGGACAAACACAATATTCATGAGTAAAAGACATTGGGAAGAATCAGGTTTTTGCTGAATCACGGACAAGGTTCCTATTTTAGAAATCACTTACTATAATTGGCAAGGGGATCTAAAAACCACTGCGTTGTGCACCCAAACAAAGTACCATTTGATGTTGAAACCAAGATCAAACCAGGGACCTTCAGATCGCCAGTCTGATGCTCTCCCAACTGAGCTATTTCGGCACAAAGAGGTATACTGGAAAAGAGGACAAACACAATATTCATGAGAAAAAGACAATGAGAAGAAACAGGTTTTTGCTGAATCATGGACAAGAATCCTATTCTACAAATCATTAACAACACGTTACACTACAATTGGCAAGGCGATCTAACAATCAAAGCGTTGTGAACCCAAACAAAGTACCATTTGTTGCCAAAACCCGGGATTGAACCAGGGACCTTCAGATCTTCAGTCTGACGCTCTCCCAACTGAGCTATTTCGGCACAAAGTGGTATGTAGGACCTGTGGACAAACATAATATTCCTGAGTAAAAGACTTTGAGAAGAAACAGGTTTTTACTGAATCATGGACAAGAATCCTATTTTACAAATCATTACACTACAATTAGCAAGGTGATCTAACAATCGAAGCGTTGTGCACTGAAACAAAATACCATTTGTTGCTGAAAGCCGGGATCAAACCAGGGACCGTCAGATCTTCAGTCTGACGCTCTCCCAACTGAGCTATTTCGGCACAAAGTGGTATACTGGACCAGAGGACAAACACAATATTCATGAGTAAAAGACTTTGAGAAGAAAGATGTTTTCGCTGAATCATGGACAAGAACCCTATTTTACAAATCATTAACAACATGTTACACTACAATTAACAAAGGGGATTGAACAATCAAAGCGTTGTGCACACAAACAAAGTACCATCTGTTGCCGAAACCCGGGACCTTCAGATCTTCAGTCTGACGCTCTCCCAACTGAGCTATTTCGGCACAAAGAAGTATACTGGACCAGAGGACAAACACAATATTCATGAGTAAAAGACAATGAGAAGAAACAGGTTTTTGCTGAATCATGGACAAGGTTCCTATTTTAGAAATCACTTACTATTATTGTGAAGGCGATCTAACAATCACAGCGTTGTGCACCTAAAAATAGTACCATTTGATGCTGAAACCCGGGATCTTCAGATCTTCAGTCTGACGCTCTCCCAACTGAGCTATTTCTTCACGAAAAAAGTATACTGGACCAGTTTTAGAAATCACTTACTATAATTGGCAAGGCGATCTAACAATCACAGCGTTGTGCACCCAAAAAGAGTACCATTTGATGCTGAAACCTGGGTTCTTCAGCTCTTCAGTCTGACGCTCTCCCAACTGAGCTATTTTTTCACATGTTGGTATACTGGACCAGTAGCCAAACACTATATTCATGAGTAAAAGACTTTGAGAAGAAAGATGTTTTCGCTGAATCATGGACAAGAACCCTATTTCACAAATCATTAACAACATGTTACACTACAATTAACAAAGGGGATTGAACAATCAAAGCGTTGTGCACCCAAACAAAGTAGCATTTGTTGCCGAAACCCAGGATCGAACCAGGGACCTTCAGATCTTCAGTCTGACGCTCTCCCAACTGAGCTTTTTCGGCACGAAGTGGTATTCTGGACCAGTGGACAAACATAATATTCATGAGTAAAAGACTTTGAGAAGAAACAGGTTTTTACTGAATCATGGACAAGGTTCCTATTTTAGAAATCACTTACTATAATTGGCAAGGCGATCTAACAATCACAGCGTTGTGCACCTAAAAATAGTACCATTTGATGCTGAAACCCGGGATCTTCAGATCTTCAGTCTGACGCTCTCCCAACTGAGCTATTTCTTCACGAAAAAAGTATACTGGACCAGTTTTAGAAATCACTTACTATAATTGGCAAGGCGATCTAACAATCACAGCGATGTGCACCCAAAAAGAGTACCATTTGATGCTGAAACCTGGGTTCTTCAGCTCTTCAGTCTGACGCTCTCCCAACTGAGCTATTTTTTCACAAATTGGTATACTGGACCAGTAGCCAAACACTATATTCATGAGTAAAAGACTTTGAGAAGAAAGATGTTTTCGCTGAATCATGGACAAGAACCCTATTTTACAAATCATTAACAACATGTTACACTACAATTAACAAAGGGGACTGAACAATCAAAGCGTTGTGCACCCAAACAAAGTAACATCTGTTGCCGAAACCCGGGATCTTCAGATCTTCAGTCTGACGCTCTCCCAACTGAGCTATTTCGGCACAAAGTGGTATACTGGACCAGTGCACAAACATAATATTCATGAGTAAAAGACTTTGAGTAGAAACAGGTTTTTACTGAATCATGGACAAGGTTCCTATTTTAGAAATTACTTACTATAATTGGCAAGGCGATCTAACAATCACAGCGTTGTGCACCCAAAAAGAGTACCACTTGATGCTGAAACCCTGGTTCTTCAGATCTTCAGTCTGACGCTCTCCCAACTGAGCTATTTCTTCACAAAGAGGTATACTGGACCAGTAGACAAACACTATATTCATGAGTAAAAGACAATGAGAAGAAACAGGTTTTTACTGAGTCATGGACAAGAATCCTATTTTACGAATCATTAACAACACGTTACACTACAATTGGCAAGGCGATCTAACAATTAAAGCATTGTGAACTCAAACAAAGTACCATTTGTTGCCGAAACTGGGGATTGAACAAGGGACCTTCAGATCTTCAGTCTGACGCTCTCCCAACTGAGCTATTTCTTCACGAAAAAAGTATACTGGACCAGTGGACAAACATAATATTCATGAGTAAAAGACATTGGGAAGAAGCAGGTTTTTTCTGAATCATGGACAAGTTTCCTATTTTAGAAATCACTTACTATAATTGGCAAGGCGATCTAACAATCACAGCGTTGTGCACCCAAAAAGAGTACCATTTGATGCTGAAACCAGGGTTCTTCAGCTCTTCAGTCTGACGCTCTCCCAACTGAGCTATTTCGGCACAAAGTGGTATACTGGACCACAGGACAAACACAATATTCATGAGTGAAAGACAATGAGAAGAAACAGGTTTTTGCTGAATCACGGACAAGAATTGTATTTTACAAATCGTTAACAACATGTTACAGTACAATTGGCAAGGCGATCTAACAATCAAAGCGTTGTGCACTCAAACAAAGTAGCATTTGTTGCCGAAACCCGGGATTGAACCAGGGACCTTCAGATCTTCAGTCTGACGCTCTCCCAACTGAGCTATTTCGGCACAAAGTGGTATACTGGACCAGAGGACAAACACAATATTCATGAGTAAAAGACTTTGAGAAGAAAGATGTTTTCGCTGAATCATGGACAAGAACCCTATTTTACAAATCATTAACAACATGTTACACTACAATTAACAAAGGGGATTGAACAATCAAAGCGTTGTGCACCCAAACAAAGTACCATCTGTTGCCGAAACCCGGGATTGAACCAGGGACCTTCAGATCTTCAGTCTGACGCTCTCCCAACTGAGCTATTTCGGCACAAAGTGGCATTCTGGACCAGTGGACAAACATAATATTCATGAGTAAAAGACTTTGAGAAGAAACAGGTTTTTACTGAATCATGGACAAGGTTCCTATTTTAGAAATCACTTACTATAATTGGCATGGCGATCTAACAATCACAGCGTTGTGCACCCAAAAAGAGTACCATTTGATGCTGAAACCCGGGTTCTTCAGCTCTTCAGTCTGACGCTCTCCCAACTGAGCCATTTTTTCACAAATTGGTATACTGGACCAGTAGCCAAACACTATATTCATGAGTAAAAGACAATGAGAAGAAACAGGTTTTTACTGAATCATGGACAAGAATCCTATTTCACAAATCATTAACAACATGTTACACTACAATTGGCAAGGCGATCTAACAATCAAAGCGTTGTGCACTCAAACAAAGTAGCATTTGTTGCCGAAACCCGGGATCGAATCAGGGACCTTCAGAGCTTCAGTCTGACGCTCTCCCAACTGAGCTTTTTCGGCACGAAGTGATATTCTGGACCAGTGGACAAACATAATATTCATGAGTAAAAGACTTTGAGAAGAAACAGGTTTTTACTGAATCATGGACAAGGTTCCTATTTTAGAAATCACTTACTATAATTGGCAAGGCGATCTAACAATCACAGCGTTGTGCACCTAAAAATAGTACCATTTGATGCTGAAACCCGGGATCTTCAGATCTTCAGTCTGACGCTCTCCCAACTGAGCTATTTCTTCACGAAAAAAGTATACTGGACCAGTTTTAGAAATCACTTACTATAATTGGCAAGGCGATCTAACAATCACAGCGTTGTGCACCCAAAAAGAGTACCATTTGATGCTGAAACCTGGGTTCTTCAGCTCTTCAGTCTGACGCTCTCCCAACTGAGCCATTTTTTCACAAATTGGTATACTGGACCAGTAGCCAAACACTAAATTCATGAGTAAAAGACTTTGAGAAGAAAGATGTTTTCGCTGAATCATGGACAAGAACCCTATTTTACAAATCATTAACAACATGTTACACTACAATTAACAAAGGGGATTGAACAATCAAAGCGTTGTGCACCCAAACAAAGTAACATCTGTTGCCGAAACCCGGGTTTGAACCAGGGACCTTCAGATCTTCAGTCTGACGCTCTCCCAACTGAGCTATTTCGGCACAAAGCGGTATTCTGGACCAGTGCA